ATTGATGAAATAACATATAAGATAGGTTCACTATATCGAAACAGTATTAATACTACTAATTTACTCATATATATAACTATACTATTATAGGTATCAAATTAGAGTTTCTCTTCATGAGAATCACATAGCTATAGTGAGTATCAGCTAGGGAATAGAATAGTACCTGGTGTATTGGCTTAACGGTGGGTCTAACATAGAGAAGGTCCTGGTCCTGTATCACTATAGCAACTATGGAGCCTAAACTTTTGACAACATAAGACCATTGCAGCTTACATACCTAAACGTAAGGTCTTTGTACTTCTATTGCAGCCTTGGAGCCTAAATTATCTGGAAATAAGGTCCTTGTACTGCTAATGCAGACATGGAGCCTATAGAGCAACTTACCTGCTTTTTACGAATCTTAAACTTTTGGATTAGAATATTAGATCCTTGCACTGCTCTTGCAGTCGTAGAGCCTATCAATATAAGTTTTTGCACTGCCTTTGCAGCTGCAGAGCTTATAAAAAATATATTTTTGTTCCTAGGACTAGATGAGTAGGGAGAGTAATAAAGCCAGTTCTAACTACTAGGAAAGCAATAGCGAACAGAAAGATGACAAATTCTCCTCTAAGGATCAACTCTTAAATATTCATCCTTAAACTAATTATTAACTCTCCTTGCTCTATACCACGATTCTTATGCAAAACTTCATAATATTCCCCTAGTCTTAATTAATAATTACTATTTATTCTTAATTCAACCAAAATTAAAGTATTTATATATCATCTTAGTACTAATCTTGGATCAACAAGATATTAAATAAAACTATTAAACTATAAAAATATGTATATTTTTATGCATATAATTTGTTTCTAAAGTTATGATCTCATAATAATGATTATTTCATTACTTAATTGACAAGTTTCTTATTTTTTTTTTTCCTTTGACAGTCATGTCATAAATTTTATTAAGTTATTAATTAAGGCCTTAGTCAAGTTACATAATTATACAATCTACTTAACTTACTAAGTTTGATATCATCTAGCTGCTACAAGAGTACTCAGATGCAACTTGTTATACTAATCAAAAGGCTAGAACAATTTGTCTAACTGTATTAAAGAAAACTTTACTAACTTATTTTTTTTTCCTTAATTTCTTTTTGAACAACTCTTTTTACTAACACTATTATCTATTTTTTTTTCTTTTCTCTTTTCCTTTTCCTTTCTGCAAGCAATACTTTTTTTCTTTTATCTGCTTGAATTCTCACTTTTAGTCTTTTTTCTTCTGCTTTGTTTTTTTTAGCTTTGTTATGATTCTTTCACTTTTTTCCTAGATGATTATCTTTTCACATTGTTATAAAATAAGTTTTAATTATTTTATCTTATTATTTTATTATTAGTATTTTTATTATTATAAATAGTTAATTTCTTGAATATACTTTATTTATTATTGCTTTTACAAATAACTTAGTAGTCACAAATAGATTTAAGTTGTATCATTAAATCTAGCTCGAAGAGATCTTTTAAATAAGCTATAATTCATAACTGTAAAACTCTTAGTTTTAGAGTTGTCTTAAGAACAACTATAATTAATTTACTATTCTTACCATTCTTATCATTCTTACTATTTTTATTATTATAAATAGTTAATTTTTTGAATATACTATTACAAGTAGCATAGCCTTCTCAATACACCACAAGTAACATAAGACACAGAAGAGGAACTCCTAACAATATCAAAGTTAAATGTTACATTACTGTGGCAGTTCATTTAAAGGAAGCATTTTTGTCAAGGCTAAGGTATACTTTATTAAGAATTAATAGAGGACTTTATTAGAGAACTATAAAGAATTATAGAACTATATAAAACTATATAGAACTTAATATAGAATTGTGCAGAACTATATATAGAACTTTTGTACAGAACTATTTTACAAGAGAGAAGAAAAGCTAAGGTTTATATATCATTTTTCTAAACATCCTCAAATGTAGTTAAATATCATCAAACGTAGCTAAATATCATCAATTGTAGTTAAATATCATCAATTGTAGTTAAATGTCATTAATCG